AAAAAAAAAAAAAAAAAAGATCATATACAAAAGTATACAGTATCTATATATATATATATATATATATATAATTTTAAATTATAGACTTCCTAATTCTAATTCTGTGAAATTCCGTGAATATAATAATTATATTTGGCCTATAATTTACCGCACAGAAATATCAGTCGAGACAGGATGAATTCGTTTCTCGTTTTCATATCCAATAAACGCTCTGTTTAATTATTGATCTGTAAGACATAATTAAATTAATTACTTTAAATGAATTTGCGCGTCAAATTATATAACATAAATTATTTAAATTCGGTCCCATTTAACTCTTAAAACTAGGATTCTAGTTTGACTTTGCAACTGGGTATCGGCTATCCAAATTTTAAAGACAATTTATCCCTTTATTTCATAATTAAATCATTAAAAATGAGCTTTATATTTTAAAATAAGAAAAAAGAGTTTTAGGTGGATCACCTGTTCACGGATTTCTGGAACTCAGTGATGCGTCTATCATTTGACACCTGTTATATTTTGTATATGTGACTCTGCAGCACAAAAGCAGTCTTAAGTCGCTGGGGTATATTTGTAGCAATAGCCAACAATACATTGTATGGGTCAAAATTATACATTTCTCTTTTATGCCAAAAATCATTAGGATATTAAGTAAAGATCATGTTCCATGAAGATATTTTGTAAATGTCCTACCGTAAATATATCAAAACTTAATGTTTGATTAGTAATATGCATTGCTAAGAACTTCATTTGAACAACTTTAAAGATGATTTTCTCAATATTTTGATTTTTTTGCACCCTCAGATTCCAGATTTTCAAATAGTTGTATCTCAGCCAAATATTGTCCTATCCTAACAAACCATACATCAATGGAAAGCTTTCAGCTTTCAGATGATGCATACATCTCAATTTCGAAATATTGACCCTTATGACTGGTTTTGTGCTCCAGGGTCACATATGAAGAGTTTCAAGCTCCTGTGTGACATTGTTGGTCTGTGTGTGATCTGAGTGGTGTGTGTGTGTGTGTGTGTGTGTGTGTGTTACCTGTGCTGTAGGGCGCGGGCTGGTGCTCTCTCAGCGCGCCCAGAGTGCAGCTGGCGGAACCGAGCGGAGCGCATCCCGGGCCGGAGCTGAAGCCGGTCCGGATCGGGTTGTACTGGAACGTGTTCGCCTGACTGCACGAGTTAAAGTCCGCGTACGCCGACGCCTCCATCGCCGCCATGCACGAGTCATACGTGTTCAGATACGAGTAATCCATTTTGTACATGTGGAGAGCGGACGGAGACGCGAAAGCTCCGGTTGCGGCGTCAAACTCCAGCGGAACGCGTTGTTTTCTCGCGGTATCCAGCGCGTGTCTCTCGGTGGCGGTGTTCCGGTGCTCTGCTGCGGCGGGCGGCTCGCGGGGGGTTTATAATAAAGCGGTGTGTTTATAATAAAGTTGGTGTCCAGGAGACAATGGCGAGGCGGTGGTCTCTGTTTGCATGACAATGTCTCAGCGCTGAACGCCTCCTCCCCTCTGCGCCTCCATGCATCTCTAATGCACCTCCGCGTTAACCCTTTCCATCATCATCATCCTCATCCTCATGGTCAGTTTCCTTCTTTATATTTGCTCCTTTGAAATATCCTCTTTCTGTGTTAACACTCTTAAAAAGAAAGGTGCTCTTCACAGCGATGCCATAGAAGAACCATTTTCGGTTCCACAAAGAACCATTCGGTCAAAGGTTCGGTTACACTTTATTTGAAGGTGTCATTGTTACAATGTAGTTCTACATTTAAGTACTGAGTAATACTAATTAACTTCATGTACTTACTATAGGGTTAGTAACACTGTATTGTTATTACATGTACCGTGTAACAAGGACACCTTCAAATAAAGTGTTACTAAAGAACCATCTCTTTCTTACCTTTTTATAATCTGGAGAACCTTCTTTCGCCTTTTGTGAAACAGAAAGGTTCTTCAGATGTTAAAGGTTCTTTATGGAACCATTTAGACAAAAAAAAAGGATCTTCTATGGCATCACTGTGAAGCAGCTTTATTTTTAAGAGTGTATTCCGTTCAGCGTGCGCAGATATAATTTTAAATAAATAACTATTAATGGCTATTAGGACTAATGTCATTAGGGCGAGAATGGGCGAGTTTTCAAGAGCGGACGCATTCTAGCTCGCGCTAAATGAATTGTGGGATTGTTTCAGCTTTAATGTGGCTCTGGTTGGTAGTGTGAGATGAAGTTTAATTTGATTGCAGGAATAATGGCCTTTATTTAAGACCGCACGCGAAACCCCTTCGAGTTGACATGTAGACTTTAGACGCTGAATAAATCAAATAAAATAAACGTGAGCTCAGATTAAATTTTAATTAATAGGCTATAGCGTTAATTTTGTTCTTTTATCCGCGCGCGTCTCTTGATGGAAACCTGCTGCTCACGATCACGTGCATCTGTTTGCTGTCAGTCACTGTTATTACACACCAGAAATCTCCAGAAATTATTTCATCTGAGAGTTAAATGTGATCCCCCCCCGATATTATCCATGCAGTTAAAGCCACATTATCTTTGTTTACTTTATCAGTTTGCTTCGTTATGAATTGCTAATATTTAATCAAACAATAATTAACATTTAACATAAAAATCGGTTACACTTTATTTTGATAATCCCCTTTTGACAGTCTACTAACTATAAGCAACTACATGTCAACTAATTCTCATTATTTGCAACTGCATGTCTGCTAACTCTCAGAGTATACTGTTAGGTTAGGTTTAGGGTTACTAAAATAAGTTGACAGTCAGTGTGTCAGTATGTCTAAAGTGGAATATCAAAATAAAGTTTTACATAAACAATCACATTCAAAATTATGCAATAATAATCGCATTTAACCGGAAACCTGTTATCAAATTAGGGACAAAATGTATTTGTATGTAAATGCGCCATATTTTAGCCATATGTGAGCCTGGAGCACAAAAGCAGTGTTAAGTCGCTGGGGTATATTTGTAGCAATAGCCAACAATACATTGTATGGGTCAAAATTATACATTTTTCTTTTATGCCAAAAATCATTAGGCTATTAAGTAAAGATCATGTTCCATGAAGATATTTTGAGAATGTCCTACCGTAAATATATCAGAACTTAATTTTTGATTAGTAATATGCATTGCTAAGAACTTCATTTGGACAACTTTAAAGATGATTTTCTCAATATTTAGATTTTTTTGCACCCTCAGATTCCAGATTTTCAAATATTGTCCTATCCTAACAAACCACACATCAATGGAAAGATTATTTATTCAGCTTTCAGATGATGTATTAATCTCAATTTCAAAAAATTGACCCTTATGACTGGTTTTGTGCTCCAGGGTCACATATGTGTCATTTCAAGGAACACGGATTCGTTTCAGGTGTTCGTTTGACTTTTGACTTCTGACCCTGTAAACAGCGGGAATCTGCGCGGTTATCCCGGAGCGTCACGGCGCATTTGGCTGATTTCTGGTGCGCGGCGGCGGCGGAGCTGACGCGCCCTTCAGACTCCATCCATCAGCGGCCGCATCATGCGCATCATCCGCGTGGATTAACGTGTGCACCGGGACGCGACGATAGACGCACGCCTGCAACAAGTCACCACGGACCCCGAGTGAAGCCTTTCAGCACGCGCTCACCTGAGAGGAGCTCAGCATCTTAAGACCAACGGAGCGCTCGCGCGCTGAGGCCTGCAAAGATCTCTTCAAAGCAAACCTGAGATATGGCGTGCAAATTAACAGATATTAGAATATGATGGATATTAAACAAATACCAATAAAATAAAGCAAAGCAAAAAACGAATAAGCAAAAGCAGAAACGAATGAATTAAATGGACTACTTGCAAATCAAGTCACCGTTAATTTGGCATTTTAGATTGTGTAGTGAAATAAAAAAGACAATGTATTATATTAAACTTAATTTGATGAATGAATATTTATATGCATAATGAATAATTATATTTTTATTATAATGTGTTGATTTATTAATATTAGATATTAATTATAATTTTATAATATGCACCAATGACACGTGGCCGTTCAGTATATATATATATATAATGGATCAATTTTAAATGCATGACTATACATTTTTTCCCTCGTAAAAATTACCTTAATTGTCAATAATAAAAAAAAACAAAAAAAGAGGTAACACTTTACAATAAGTTTCATTAGTTAAAATAAACTAAGCATGAACAATACTTCAGCAATTATTAATCTTAGTTGATGTTAATTCACTAATGCTTTATTATAATCAAAATATTAGTTAAGGCACTGTGAATTAATATGAACTAACAATGAACGACTGTATTGTAATTAACTAACGTTAACAAAGATTAATAAATGCTGTAATAAATGTATTGTTCGTTGTTCGTTCATGTTAGTTAATACATTAACTAATGGAACCTTATTGTAAAGAAAACAGGGTTATACTTTATTTTAAGGTGTCCTTGTTACAGTGTAATTATACATTTAAGTACTGAGTCATATTCATTAACGTGAGCCCGGTCTCATGAAAATGCGTATAAAATAGTACGCCAAATACAAACAGAAAATCGTGCTATTGATATACACAGAAATTGACTTTGACGTGCATATGATACGCAGTTTTCGCGTGCATATGATACGCAATTTGTTGGCGTGCATATGATATGCAGTTTTTGCGTACATATGATACGCATCTACCCCACAACCCTTGTCCTACCCATTGCGTATCATATGCACGCCAAAGTCAATTTCTGCGTATAAAAACAACAAACTCGTGCTATTGATACGCACTTTCATGAGATCGGGTTGTTTGTACTGAATAGCATATGTTTGGTGACGTTTAGACCCGTAATTCGCATGGAAACCATAAAGACGCGTGGTTTTCTCTGGTGCCACCCGCTTTCAGACGGGTCACCGGAACCATGCGTCACGCAGACGCGTCGCGTCTCATCCGTTCCCGATCCTTCATCCTCTCTCTCTCTCATCAATCTCTCTCTCTCATTAGCTCAATCTGCATTCAGCAGTGATCGGTCACCGGGAGACGCGCGCCTCGCTTTAATGGCCCGACCATCGGATGCGATTACTGTCAGCCAAACCAAACCAACCCAAGCACAATTCAATTAGTCCCTCCGCTTTTCATTTCTTTATTTATTTCGTGCTCGGAAAATGCCTTTTTTTGTGTGATGGCAAGGCAAAATATGAGTGTTCTAAAACTATGGATAAATTAATGGAGCCTCTCGGACAGTAAGTGCACTGGTTAGTGTAACTATCGATCACCAGCGCGCATGCCAGAATCTGCTCGCGCTTTAAAAAATGAAAACCACTGAGCTGTCAATCACAGCTCTCAGCTGTCAATCACAGCATCTCTCTCAGACCCCCGCCTGTTATTTACACAAGCGCCATGAATGAGAAAGAGCCTCGTTACTGTTTCCGTTAATCGCCAATGAATTTTAAAGGTGCTGGTCTGGTCGGGTCGGGTCGGGATTAGAGCCCATTTTCAAGACAAACACTCGGATTTGAAAGTCAGATGCAGCGCGAGGCTTTGAAGAGATTAGCGGGTGTGCATGTGTGCAATGCGTAACACGGGTGAACCAGGTTCAGTTCTCCAGCAAACTCACCCCGACACCCAGCAGATGACTTCTGATCCAGAACACATTCCCCTCTGCAAACACAGAACAGAAACAGTTTCAGGCCACATTTACACCCTCCAGACCCCGTGTTTGAGATGAAGGAAACTGTTGCGTTGATTTAAAATAATCTGCCGACACGCATTTATTATTCATGTATCTTCTATGTTAAGACATAAAACGGGCAATAAATAATTAGCAATATAGTTTGTTCTGTCCAAATAAATGAGAACAAAACACTCTAAAAAGTAAACGTTCTTTATTGGCATCGATGGTTCCATTGAGAACTTTTAACATCCATCGCACAAAAAGTTCTTTATACTAGAATAGGAACTATTCTTAAACGTTTTGGAACCATTCTTTTAAAATAATTTAACAATAATTAAATTAGTATCTTCAAAAACAAATTGCACGCCCCAAAAACCATGGAAAGTTACTAACTGCGTTTTATTATTTTATGGTTTATTATTACGTAAATAATTGTGTGTGTGTGTGTGTGTGTGTTGTGTGTGTGTGTGTGTGTGTGAGAGTGTGTGTGTTTCTGCTGGATAGTGTGTATGTGTGTGTGTTTCTGCTGGAGAGTGTGTGTGTGTGTGTGTGTGTTTCTGCTGGAGAGTGTGTGTGTGTGTTTCTGCTGGAGAGTGTGTGTGTGTGTGTGTGT